GGTGCTGGATCCCTCCCAAGAGCCAGGATGAGACGCGTTCAGCCCCAGCCGGAGATGCTGGGGATGCCATGAGGATGCTGCAGCGGGCTCTGCGAGGTGCAGGAGGAACCCCCTGCCCCGGGCTCTCACCGGTCCCCAGATGGTCACGCAGTCTTCCAGGCTGTCGCGGAAGTTGTTGGGCTCGAAGGGGTGCCAGTACGTGAACCTCACGGGCGTCCCATCCGACCACTCAAAGTTCATCTGCAGCTTGAGGTCATTTAGACCAATCCAGAGCTCCTCCACGTCTGCCGAGACAGGAGGGTCGGGGGGATGAAATTCCCTCTGCATGGCTGGAACCTTGCAGAACCCCCTCCCCGCGACACGGGCCCCTGTGATGGGACCACAGCTCTGCAAAGCGGCTGCAAAAATCCCGCGCAGGGCTCAGCCCCTCACCCCAGCCATGCCAGCAGGCAGCTCCTGCCTGTGAGGACGGACCCGCGGAGGGCGAAACACAGGGACATTTCCCAGCAGCTTGCAGAGAGGTGCTGGCAGCAGCAGAATGGTAAATGTCCGGACTCACGGGCTCAGGTCCAGTGAGCTACTGGTTTTCAACCATTCCCTCCCATCCCATCCCTGTCTGGGAGCACCAGCATGTCCCTCTCCCCCCTCCACCCTCCTATGGCTCCTGCCTCCCTGAGCACTAATTCCCGCCAGCCCTCAGCCCCTCCCAGGTCCCCACTGAGGTCTGGGTCCCCCGATGTCCCCACGGTGGGTTTTGCTGCCAGGCTCTTCCCCTGCAGAGCAGGGATGGGCTCGTGGGAGCGCAGAATTTGGACAGAGGGGCTGCATTTGTATGGGAACACCAAAACCCGAGCTGAGGGTGACCCTAAGGAGGGGTGGCACAAGCAGGGTCCAGGGGATGGTGGCACGGGTGCTGCCCCAAACCATCGCGTGATTGCTCAGGCTGAAACTTCCCAAGAACCATCCCTGCTCCGACACACCCCGACATGGGAAACTTCAACCCCATTACACCGGGGTGAGAAGCAGATCCTGGGACATCGCAGGCAGAAGCTCCCCCTCCTCTTGTCCTGCTGTGGGGGACACTGCTAAATGTGCCCGGGACAGGAGTAAGAGGTGCAGCCTCCTCCAGCAAGCCCAGCAGGACATTTTTTCCAATCTTTCTCTACATTCACCAACCGGGACTAGTGCCATTCCCGGCTGCAGCTCTGTATTTTCTTCCTTGGCACTGCAGGCTCCCGGGAAGAGCTTTCACATTTGCTGGGTGGAGGATGCGCCTGGGGCACGGGCTCCTCCCAGCAACACCTCACCTCCCAGCCTGCGGTCCCCGTTCCCTTTGCAGCCACAGATTCATTCAACTCTGCAGCCTCCATCACACAGCAGCGACCTCTCCACAGAGCCCAGAATCGGACGGGAAGGGTGCTGCGGGCACTGCGGGCTCCCCCTTACCTTGCTTGATCTGCTTGGTGACGAACTCCAGCTCGGAGAGGGTGTGGATGCTGACCAGGTCCCCCCCGCTCCGCAGGCAGGTCTTCTTCGCCTCCTGCCAGCTCTTCTTCTCTCCCACCAGGCGGTAGCAGTTGGACTGGAAGGGCTGCCAGCTGGGCTCGCAGTCCACCTTCACCTCCGACCACGAGTCTGGCAGGATGCAAGGCAGCTGAAGGCTCCTGTCCCGCTCTCCAGCCCTCTCGCTGGCAGGGAGAGGAGCACAGGGAGGGGACCACGGTCCCACGGGGTGCTCAGGAGACCAAGCCAAAGCAACGGTGGGAAAGCTACAGCCAAAACGTAACACGCAATGGCAAGGTGCAAGCAGCGGTGGCTTTAGAGCTCCGCAGACAAAATAAAATCCCTTCCGTTCGCAGAGCAGCGATGGCAGAGCAGAGAGCAGCCCATCCCTGGGCACCAAAAGGGCCCTCCCGCTGCTTTCGATCCCTCCCCTACCACCCAGCCTGTAATGGCACCGAGTGCTTCTTGAGGGTTGCTCCTCGGGGAGGAGTTTTCCCAAATTTAGGCAGCCCTGGGGAGCTCAACCCCTGCTCCGCAAACCCAGGCTACTGGCAAGCTGGGGACACCATGGGCACCTCCACGCGCTGCTCCGGCACTCGGACAGCCTCCCCTGACCATGCCGGGACGGGAGGGCACCCGGCCGGGATACGGGGCTGCCCCTTCCCGGGGCTCCTCGCCCTCCTGCTCACCCGTCAGGAAGGGGTCGGCGGTGGCGTTGGGCTTCTTCTTGCAGACGTAGGGGAGGGCGATGCCGCAGTCGCGGTTCTGCCACCCCCCGAACGACTCGGTGCGGATCACCCCGCAGTTCTCCTCGCTGGGGTTGTCGGGCTGGTCTGGAAAGCGGGGCGAGGGGGGGACACGGGGGGGACACGCTGCTGAGGAGCTGGGGCAGAGCTGCCAACGCTGCCCAGGCAGGCAGGGCACCGCGCCTGGGCAGGTGCCCTCGGGGTGCAGCTCTCCCTGCTCCAGCACCAGCGAAGCCCGATTTATTTTGTTATTTTGCACGATGAAGACGTAACCCCACACACCCAGGATTATTTACTGCCCCTCGATGCACGGGGACCTGAAGCATCACTATTTTACCTAGAAATGTTGGATGGCAGTTTGAGGGGACACGGTACCAGACCTGAACGGCTCCCACCTGTCCCCAAACCTCCTCCCGGGGTATCACTGTCTCCATGAGTGCCTCTGGGTGACAGCACTGGGCACAACCAGAGCAGCCCTAGCAATGGGTCCTTCTGCCCCCCGAGCTCCCCAGCATTAGAAATGGGCATCCACAGTGGGGGACCACTCCACAGCTGCACTCCAGCACCAAGCTGAATCATAGAATCATCGGTTGGAAAAGACCTCTCAGATCATCAAGTCCAACCATCCATCCAACACCACCATTCCTATTAAACCATATCCTGAAGTGCCACACGGTTTTCGAACCCCTCCAGGGATGGGGACTCCACCACTGCCCTGGGCAGCCTGTTCCAATCCTGACCGCTCTTTCAGTAAAGAAATTTTTCATAGTATCTAATCTAAACCTCCCCTGATGCAACTTGAGGCCACTGCCTCTCGTCCTGTCGCTAGTAACTTGGAAGAAGAGACCAACCCCTGCCTCACTACACTGAGATGCAACAACCCTCCAAACAAGGAAGCTCAACCCAGGTTATCCACAGGGCTGCTCAGGGCTGGCAGAAGGACAACCCCCCCTCCAGCACCCTGCAACCCCCCTCCAGCTCCACGGATGTCCCAGGCTGCTCCCCAACCCTACGGGTCTCTCCATCCCCAGGCAGCGAGGGGACACCCCACAGCAGCCTGGGCCACCTCCCCTGCCATGGGGCCATCTCCAGTGGCGATGGGCTGTTCCCCAGTCCCCCCATCACCCCCATGACTCCCGTGTCTCACCGCTCTCCCAGTTGAGGTACTTCAGGGGTGAGTTGTCCGACCACTGCCAGCCTCCATTGATGTCCAGGTCATTGAGCCCAATCCAGAGCGTGGAGCTGTACCCCGTCAGCAGCCCTGGGGCCGACGCAGCCAGAGGGGCAGGATCAGTCCTCCCGGCCCCAGCTCAACCCGCAGCCTGCCACCATCCCCAAACCAACCTCCCAGGGCAGGCAGAACAACCTAGCACTGGTGATGGCCATGGTGGCACTGACGATGGCCATGGTGGCACCACCTCTGCCCTGGGTGAGGAGGACGGGGGTGCGGCCAGGCTGCCATCGTCTCACCGTTGATGTAGGTCTGCTCGTGGATCTCGGTGATGCTCAGCAGATTGGCCCCTTGCTGCTCGCAGCTATTCCAGGCCTCCCGCCACGACAGCGTTGACTGGAAGTTGAACTGGTAGCAGCTGTTGGTGAGGTGGTCCTTGTCCCAAAAGGTCTCGCAGTCGTTGCCTGCGGGGACGAGCATGATGAGCACCTAATGCAGCCCCGTTCACAACTCCAGAAGACCCCAGTAACCCAGAAAAGCCAGAGAGAGAGAAGCCAGCGGGGCTGCTCCGGCACCTCAGGCTGCTCACAGGAGGAGGTACAAGGCAGGAGGGAAGGAGAGAGGCAGGAAAGCCCTCAGGAGGGATGAACATGGGGTTTCTGCTTTTCCCCATGGGACGCATCCCCCCCACTTACTTTTTATGGGGCAGAAGCCCCATCGCTCGTCCTTGCCGTAGTCCTGGGTGGTGGCACACCAGAGATGGCCGTCCATCCGCCCCGTGCTGGTGCACTCGTGAAACCACTGGTTATCGTACTTGAAGGGGATGGTGCACGGCTTCCCGTGAGAGTTGCCCTGGATGGTGTAAATCTCTGTGGAGAAAGAGGAGCCCTTGCTTGAGGCTGTGTCTTCAAAGGGCTTGGAGGGAGGTTTGGGGTGAGGGGTGCAAGTTGGCTCAGCGCAGGGGCTGCCTGCTCCCTGGGACTGATCCCCATTGCCCCAGCCCTGCCTGGTTTTGCAGCTCAGCTCCCTGGGCAGGACCCAACTGCTGCAGCACCGCGGCCTCAGCTCACGTTTCGGGGCTGGTTTGGGTTATGGGATAATCACAGAATCACAGAATGTTCGGGGTTGGCAGGACCCTCTGGGGTCACCCAGCCCAACCCCCTGCCCAAGCAGGGTCACCCAGAGC